ATACTCAATGGACAGAAATTAATATTACTGTCTCCAGTCCTGGGTTAGAAGGATCTACATGGTCCTGTTTCCACGGGTCTACTTTCATGACAGGTGGAATTTATATTTCAGGCTGCCAGATGCAAAGTTCTTCCTTTGGAGTTTGTCACTTGCAGTTATAAGTGAGTGAACTCAGGGCAGCCACAGTGGAAATTTCCTTTCTCAAGCTATTACTCTTTAGTACCTCTTAGATGTCACTTTGTATGTTTGGAAATACAGAAATATCATCATCCTGGGAAGTATTAATATGAGATCCAAATTATGTAAAACGACTCCATCCTATTCCTCATCCATAGCCCATATTATCTAAGTACTTTTCAGTTCAGGGCCAGTCTGTTAGTAGTCAACAGAACATTATCTATCAGACTGTTATTGAGAACACTTGTTACCGCCCACTCACTTGTTGTTTTGATCATCAATATCTCACCCTTTCTACAATTAAGCCCAAATATGTCAGCACACTATTCAAAAATGTAACATTTGACTCAAATAGACTTCCATTCAAAAAGCTGTGAGATATGCTTTAATTTTATTTTGAATATGAACCTCATTCCATGTACATTAAATTTCTAAACTTTTTCAAATTTTCTCAGTGGGGAAGATGAGTGATAATCTTGAAATAAGATAATTATCAAGGACTTTAATTGATTGGTAGCTATAGTACTGGAAGCCCCAGTGCCCTATTAGTTTTGAATTTTTTGCTTTTTTGTTTGCATGTGTGTGAGGAAGAGTAGCCCTCAGCTAACATCTGTTGCCAATCTTCCTCTTTTTGTTTGAGGAAGATTGTCTCGGAGCTAACATCTGTGCCAATCTTCTTCTCTTTCATGTGGGACCCCACCACAGTGTGGCTTGATGAGTGGTGCTAGGTCTGCGCCCCGGATCTGAACCTGTGAACCCCGGGCCATTGAAGCAGAGCATGTGAACTTAACCACTATGCCACTGGGCTAGCCCCCACTATTAGTTTTAATTTTAATTTTAGAGACAGGAAAATTCTAGATGCATTGTATTCCACAGAAGATTTACTTGAACCTCTGTACTTTGTGGGTGATCAATTATATATTTATTCATAAATATGGTGGTGGCAAACTAATTCAAGTTCACTACATTTTCTCAGAAAGTTACTCAAGGTTAACTGCACAAATAGAGAGCAGTGGCAGTTCAGATCATGCAAAACAGAAACTAAGCATAAATCATTGAAATTAATGATATCTTTCCCAACAACCTTCCAAATTTATTTTCTTATGCGTTTCTTAAATGATAGTGGAAACTTGTTCGTGCTCCTACCAAGGAAATAATCTTGGTCGGGGGTGGGTAGCAGGCTGGGATTGCTACATGTCTTCCAATATTTACTCTCTCTGTCTTCCACAGTTAAGAGAATCTCCAATTTTTTTGTTGGACATACGGCCTCCTGCCTGGAATAATGTTTCTCATCCTATGTGACTAAGTATTGTTCAATGGACTATTAGCAGAAGGGATGGGTCAACTGCCAGGAAGTGTCCTTAAAGGGATGAATCATATCCTTCCTCATCCCTTCTTCTTTCCTGCTGGTTAGCAAGTAGACATAAGGGATGGTTTTCAACAGCCGTCTTGGACCATGAAGATGGGAATGGAAACCATAGAAAGCAAAGGGACAAGATAGGAAGAGGTTGGCACTATCCTAACAGCATGGACCACCTCCCTCTGGACTATTATATGTGACAGCAAGAAATTTCTATTCTTAATTAAACCACTGTACTTTGGAGTTTCCTTTGTTCCTGTCTGAATCTAATCCTACTAGTACTAATAATTAGAGAAAACCAGTCTTAGATTTAAAAATAATTGTGGTCTGAATAATTCAAACTGTATAATCCATGTAGAGATAACTATCGACCATATTGTATTAGGGCTCTAATACAATAAAGCAGGTTCCAGAGTTGCTTCCATACAGAAGAGAGAAGCATTTAGGCCCCGCTTCTTATTCGCCATTCAATTCTGCTCGGCTTCTTTCTCAAACTCCTCAAAAGACATTTTCTCCTCTTTACAAGAACTTCCAAATCCCCTGCCTTCATCTAGGGGATTATTTTTGATGCTATCACTGGCTGATGTTTTTAATATGAGACAATGTTTTTGAATTCCTACTGATCATTTAATCCTATTAGATAATTAGTATAACATAGGGTGACTCCATTATGGTTACATAGCAGGAAAGAACAATCAGAAATATGGTGTTTGTTTTAATACTTCTGTTAAGTTAGGCTAGTCATTTGCTTGTTGCTTATTAAGATGGAAGTCTGACATTTACCAGGGTAATTTTAGAGAAAAAAGTCTAGTTGTATTATTTTACTTAATTCATGAATCTTGAATTTCAATATAGAGCAGGTTTAGTTAACAATATCTTGCCTTGTAATCAGCTCATAACATTTTGATTAAACCAACATGATTATCCTTAACTACAGAGATGTAAAGATTCAGATTCCCAAATTTTCTGATTATTCTTCTTTGTGAAAGACATTAGCTAATACTTGGTTAGAAGAAGAACATACTTAGATTTGCTCAGTTGCTCTGACTGGAAATATTCTACAGTAATAGAATATTGTGAGGATGTGTGGCAACACAATGTAGACCAAGCATTGGAATTATCAGGGCACTAAAAAATATATTCTCAGTCATTCTCGTGGAATAAAAATAAATAGCCACTTGACTTGTTGAGTTTCATTTAGTCTTGAAAGGGGTGAACTTTTTAAAAGGTCTGTGGTGATTTTATTAATTGGCTAACCCACGGAACATTCTCAACCCTGTTCTCCCTGCTACCTCATGCAATAGAGGCTAGAGAGCAACATACTGACTTTCCCAGCATCCTTTGCAGCTAGGATTGGCTTAAGACCTGGTTCTCACTGATGACATGTAAGGTAGAGTCTATGGCTGGGATTCTGAAGGAGCTTTTCCTCTTCCTTATACTTTGTGCCTTCGATGTAGGTGGGATGCCTAGAGAGGCAGGAAACAATTTGCAACGAGAGGCAACAAGCATGAAGACAAAAAGCCAGGGCTTTTGATAACATTGTTGAGCTTCTATACCTCATTCATGTTTCCCTTCCTCCAGACCTTTAATTATATAAGATGATTAAATGACTCTATTACTTAAGTAACGGCTTGTCAGCTTTTGCTGTCGTTGTTGTTACTTGCAGCCAAGAGCAACTTATTCATATAGCTCTCCATCAGTTTGAGTAGATGAGTCTACAATTATGTGAAGACCAAGTCAACTCTCTGTCAGAAACATGGTTCAAATTTACTTCCATGAGAGGAATGCAAAGCAGCACTTGCCAACAGAACTTTGTATGATGATGGAAACGTTCCTATAGACCATCTGGAACAGAATATGTGGCCAGTGAGCACTTGGAATGCGGCGTGCGACTGAGGAACTGGATTTCTAATTTTATGTAGTTTTAATTCCTTTAAATTGACCTGAAATAGCCACATGTAGCTACTGGCTGTCATGTCAAACAGTGCAGAGCTAAATAATTGCTAGACTATTTAAAAAGTAGATTACTCTAGTTCTCTTGAAAAAAATTCAGCCTCTAACTTTATATATGTTATTTTACAGGCCGAAGAATACCTCATTATGGAAAAATGATGACTCAGCGGAGCTTTCCATGGTGTCATGTTTGAAGGTTGTGAAACAACATTTAACTTGCATATTAGCTAACTACACGGAACTGATACCAATTTAAGCATTTTACATTGACAACTATAATAAAGGATGTCTTTTTGGAATAATAATCTTATTCAGACTACCCTCATTCAGCTGTTTGTTAAGACTTTTCTGTTCCCAATTACCAATGAAAAGAATAATAATGGTGTGCCAGTCTCATTAAGCTGTGGGGGTACAATAACTCTCTGAGATAAACTGTAAATTATAGCTTGCAGAAGACTGCTGGGCATGCTAGAACATCACTTGCAAAGTGTACCAATATGGCGCTAAGAGTGATGAGATGCTGAGAGCCGGCAGCTCAAGGTACTCCAGTGATAGGACAGGAGCAGTGGATACTGGATATACCAGAAACCAGAAATCTGTGGGGATGTCATTCCCTAGACTATGGTATTCAAGATTACCTACTACACCCAAATGTGACTGGAAGAACTGATTCCATCATGCCTTGGTGTCTTCTGTACAACTAAATAATCCGCATCCTTACATTCACAGATATTTTTAGAACCTGAAGAACAATTATTTCTGCAAGCATCCAAGGCGGCCCAGAGCCGTTAACGTTATCGCTTCTTCTGTCTCCTGACAAGGATCACAGTCACAGACAGCTGCTCCATCACCAGTTCCCTCCCAGCTGCTGGAAACAGGTCAGCAAAGTCCTTTTGTTTTGGGAACCTGAGTTTGTACAATCTAGGCTTACGCACAATTTTAAAAAATAGCTGACAAGCCAAACTTATTTCACAGACACAACTATCTACAATCAGGGTTCTAAGAGAAAGATGAAGAAAATGAGTTGAAGATTTTGGCAAATTGTATACCCTTAATCTATTTGGTTCTATGTGTAAAACAGACATAATTTTAAAAATATTCAATTTAAGAAAACCACCACTGCACGTTTCCAACCAATCGTAGTTGCACAAGGTACTTCTTGAGACAATTATAGAAACTGGCTCCATTCAAAGTTGATTTTCTCCTCAGAGAGAAATGATTTACACTCAGTATCATTTTCATTTGATATAGACAAGTACTCACTTCTTGTCAGTTTGCATCGCATTGCTCTGCAAACACCTATGTTTTCTTCATAGGTTCTGCTTTGATCCACTTATTTTACAGTAGTTTCCAATGTCTAAGAAGATAAACGTAACCATGTGTGAGAAGTTAAGACGCAGTCCAGAGAGAGGGAGGAGTAAGACATGATCTTCAGGAACATACTGTGTCTGAAAGAAGGTCGCATGAGAAAATATCTTAGTTAAAGATGCATCAAGACACAAATTTTTACCTATGATGTGGCTCTGAAATGCAGAATCTGCAATTGTATCTTCTTCATCCTCTTGCAGGTTTTCATTGGCCTCTTTTATCTGCAGTAAGAAGAAAACATTGTAAGTTCTTATTTATTAAATTAAATAGATTGCAATCCTCAGAATAGTGGTACATTCTATAACAAACGTGTGAGTGTGGATGTATACACATACATATGTATTATCTTCATTCCACTTTTCCCTACTCTATCAATCACTTGGCTTTATTAAGAGTTTTAATGATAAGAGCATATTTTCAAGAATATAACTCCAGCTCTGAAAGCAAGGATTTACAGGGTACCTAATTCTACATAAGATTTTGGAGATAACAGCTTTGGTTTTTAATACTTAATAAAGTCAGTAACAGAGCTCTTAGGAAAAATTAAAGTCTAATGAAATATAATTCCTTTAGAGATAGTGACTTCCACCACAAGCTATTTTCATAAGAATAAAGAAATATACTTAGATCTCCTGACCCTTTCCTAAAATATAACTCTTTAAGAAAATGTTTATTTTTTTTTGTTCTTTCTATAATGAAACATGAGGTGACCATGATGTATGCTCAGTAAACTAAAGCAGTGACACATTTATCTAGATTTTTCAGGTCAAAAATATTCCACGAGGGGGCTGGCCCTGTGGCTGAGTGGTTAAGTTCATGAGCTCTGCTTTGGTGGCCCAGGGTTTGGCTGGTTCGGATCCTGGGCACGGACAAGGCACTGCTCATCAAGCCATGTTGACGTGGTGTCCCACATAGCACAACCACAAGGACCTCCAACTAGAATATACAACTATGTACTGGGGGGCTTTGGGGAGAAGAAGAAGAAGAAAAAGAAAAGATCGGCAACAGATGTTAGCTCAGGTGCCAATCTTTAAAAAAAAAATTCCCTGTAAACTTCAGCTGGAATATCCAGATGCTGAATGGTGTAGCATCAAACAGAACTCTAGAGAGAATCTAATATAGTCACAGTATTTTACAAATGGGAATTCTGAGATCCAGAAAATTTTCTTTCATTTATTTATTTATGTTTTATTGAGGTAACACGGGTTTATAACATTATATAAATTTCAGGTGTACATCATTCTATTTCAACTTCTGTATAGACAACATCGTGTTCACCTTATTTTCTTAAACATATTGTAAATGGCAACACTGGAACTAAAACCCAGGTCCCCTATTTCCCATTCTAGTAGCATCAGTAGTAACACTATTATCGCCAATCTCAATAATAATAAAAACAGCAAACAATTGAATACTATGTAGCAGGTGCTGTTAAAGCTCTTCACACCAATGATCTCATAACCCTCACAACAATGCTACTAGGGAGATGCTATTGTTAGCCTTATTTTAGAGACAAGGACCTGAAGAAACAGACAAGATAAGTAACTGCCCAGGTGGTGGAACCGCAATTCAAACACAGCAAATCTGGCTTCAGATTTGTGTTCATTTGGGGGAATTTTGTTATTCTCAAATTTCCATTTGACTATTCCAGTGTAGACTTGGCCTCAATATCAAGACAGCTTGCAGTCTTTGGCAGAATGACCCTAAACAGCTCTTTTAAAATACATCCCAGCCAGTCACCTGGGCAGTCAATGATAATACTGTGAACTATGCAGTGAATGCAATGGGGGTTCTGCTTAGGCACACACATTAGAGGTTGTCATTGGGTTTGCTCAGGGGCTCAAGTTAAATGCCAAGAAACCACGATTTTATACGTGCAATGTAGAAAGTCATATGGTTGCACACTGACCTTGAGCTAGATTTAACTTCCTACTTTTTACCTCCTAATTTTCATATTTAATGGAATAAGGCCAATTATTTACATTTTATGACTGTGGTTCCAATATTAGACTGTAATTGGTGCTTAATCTGTACATGCTGATAGCCAGAAGATGACAAACTCAAAACAGGATGCAGATGACTACCTGCACTCTCATAAGGAGAGTGTTGAGGGCTGACTATCCAGATGCCATGCTCCCTCACTTTCTTTCCCCATCAGCTGTCTGCCTTGTGGGCACTGCCCTGTTTGTTAGCATCTCCAGAAGAAGAAAGTTAGGGAACGGGGGAACAAAGCCTTCACCAACAAGCTCTGTTTCTAGTAGTGCACATTTACAGATAGCAGAGGGGAAAAGTGGAATGAGCATCAGCAAGACTAATGTGTTACTTATTTGCCTTCCAAGGTTCACCCAGCTCAGTGATTTCTTTGTGACAAGGTTACCACAAGACCCACCAAGGAAGGGATATCCCAAACACCTTAATTTCCATTAAGAATCCAACAGGAACTTTCTATCCTCATTTATAGAAACAACAAGGAAATCTATTTATATCGTCAGCCCGTTCTAGCTCTTATGACAATATATTCCACATTTTCCCCCACCTGTTATGTAAAATAGTATTTCCTTGGGATTTTTCAAAATCCACCGATTTTAAACTTGAGGTGCCTTGCTAGCCTGATGGAATGTGGGTGAACCATCATCTCCATCAGCCTAGGAAATTCTAAACTAAAGAATCCAATACTTAGAACAAGATTCTCATCCTAGAGAAAAAAGAAAAGAGACTCAGAGAGGGTTAGTGATCTGTTCAAGGTCACAAAGGATTTCAGCTTTAGAGTGGGTTCTCCTGACCCCTGTTCATTGCTGTAATTCAGTTTTTCAGAGGGCACCATATTGTTAGTCATCCTTTCCAGACCTTCTCAAGAACTACCGTCTTTCTTAGTGTCTGGCAGTTAGACATGGAGGCAGTATTCCAAGTATATATAAACCATATTTTTATTTAAGAGTAGCATAAATTTTCTGTGTGTGTAACTACCCTGCTTCACTTTCCTACTTGTTCTCTAACCCTCTGTGGAACTTCATCACCACCTTTCTCCAAGTATCATATTTGAGAAAGAAAAAAGCCGTCGGACAGTCCCACCTGTCAGCTCCTTGTCAGAATGTTTCTAGGGCTTTACATCCTGAACAGCAAATGCTAAATGTGACCTCTGGGGATTTATCTGAGGAACTGGGCTTCTAGACAAGGCCCCTAGTTCTTTCAGCTCTCCTGGGCTAATGACCCATGAGAAAGTGATGACCCATGAAGGGAAATTTTGAATTTGAAGGGGCTGGATGAAGAATCAGCAAAGGAATGGAAAACGAGGGAGTGTCTGGAAATGGCATACTTGTCAGCTCTACTTATCCATACAAATAGATTTCAATGCAAAGTGGTGAGTAATTAAAAAAATCCATTTGCCTATGGAAATGAGGGGCATAATTTATTTTGGCAGCAGATTCCCCTTGCTAATTATATTTTTCATAGGCTGACATTAAAATTAATTTTCATTCTTGATCATACAGTGGTTGGGTGTTGGTGAGAGGTTGTGGGAATCTTCCTGGGGGTAAGGAGCTGACAGTTCAAGTTTAAGAATTTGCCAAAGATAGACACAAGTGAGACAATCTTCATGTGGTGAAGCACTTCAGAGATGGGAGTGATCGCAAAACCAAGAAGCCTAGCTCAGGAAAGAATGGTGGTTAGGTATTGAGAATTTTCTCAGCCATTGCTCTACCAGGAACAGATACAAATCAATGTCAGTAATGTCCCATTGACAAGAAGTAGCAGGCGACTCACAGGCAATAACTATGGGCTATTTTGGGTTTGTTTGCTATCAGTACTTTGGGGGTCTTCTAATGGTGCGCCTCCAACGCTTCTCCATCTTTTGAGCTCTGGAGATGTAGTCAAGAACCGTACCAAATACCAGATTCTAACAGATAACCATTAAATGTCACTCTACCCACTATATTCTATTAACCTCTATCATTAGAAAAGGTAGGAAGGAATTAGCTTACAAAGGATGCAGGAGGAAAAAGGGAGAAAACAATTCACCACTGACCAATATATATACATAATTTCAGAATTAAATCTAATATTCGTGGACACTTTTCATTTGGAATTATGCATCTTTCTTCTCTGAATCATCCTACCATGAATGGCTTCCCAAGAAAACAACATTTTGATGTTAAATTTCATTGAAAAGGAAAAGATCATAATGAACTTGAGTGAGACAGGAAGTGATCTTTGGAGAGAAAACTGGAAGGCATTGCCTTTAGAAAAGTGAGTCATTTAGAAAACTTTGCAGGAGGAGGGCACAATATGCATGCTTCTTATTAGCCTCAAAACAGCATTTAGAACAGAATTGTTCCATTAAGGATCTTGAAATTATAACATTTTGCAGAACTTAATAAGATGATAACAATTTGGGTAATTATTGTACTATTTTATGCTATTTCATCACCACAGTACGATTTTAATGGGATAGTATTTGATGCTTTTTTATTAGCATATGTGATTTTTTTCAGACTATGTGACACTAGGTGAAGAGAATACTCATAATTTAAATTAAAATACCCATATTAAAATGGCCATCTCTTTCTAGTGCATAATGAAGGTATACGATCTCATTAATTGTGTTAACGATTTTTATTTTGTCCAGTGGTAGTTAAATAGAAGCCTAGAGCTGCCTTCCTTTGAGACTTCTCATTTCAGAGAATTATCTAAATCCACAGGAAGGAAGACCTCCAATGTGTAGCAAGTGGACTGCACTTCTTTCTGACTTATTTACTTAATACCGATGCAATCTTTCCTGGGGACGTCTTTTTCCTCTCTTATAATTATTTTATATAATTTAAATAAAAGTACAAAGTAACATGGCCCTTGTCTAAATTACACAAAAATTAGAGCTAAGTGGTTTGTAAATGATGATATAAACGAGGACATAAGCCTCTAATTAAGGCTCTGAAAGGAGTAAAAGATTTAATTCAGCAAAGCATTAATGGGACGTTTACACCTATTTTGGAATGTATCTAGCAATGCTGAAAATTGATATGCAGTTACTAGTGAACCAAGTGGAGCGCTGCTACATACATGGATTTGTTAGATGCATGGAAATAATCTTTCTACCATTTCCAACACAGATTAAAATAATTAAAACACCTTAGACCTCTCATAACTAAATATAGTCTGACTTTGCAAAGAAAAGGGGATGGTGGTATATTATGTTATGAGGTTTTTGAACAGTGGTTTCATTCAGAAATAAAGTGTGATTTGTGATGCATTATATATAACTATCGTTTTCAACCAAAATGACTACTATAAGAAGAGTTTATTGCAACCCACTTTAAAATAAGCTGACAGCAAATTTATCTTGAGCCTTAGTAGGGGAAAATTCCTCTAAACCCTGAATTTTAAAAAGTTCATGGGTTATTCACCTCAATGTGTTATGGTATTAGAATACATCTTATTTTGCATCTAATCTCCTCCCTATAAGGGCAGATAACATACAACAAATAGGTTTTCACTGCTATGCTTATACTAATCCCAAAGGAGACTATGGCCATGCCCTTTCTGAAATTAGTAATTTTAGCCCAATCTCCACCGATGATTATGGAGATGAAACAAAAAACATTGCATTTTCCATTTAAAAGATGACTAACTGGTCAACTATTCAGGTTAATAATATTCCTCCATATGGAAAAGCTTCCCAGCATGACTAATTTCCTCTTGCAGCTAACTAGAAAAATTAGCATATCCCTATTGATTATGTATATTTCGGGTGGTGAGGGAATCTTTGCACTTCACAGAAAATAATCAGAGTGTTTCTTGCAGATATTCTGGAAGGACCAAAGGACACACTATACTACACTGTGAAAGACTGCCGACGAGAGAGGAAAAGCATGGTCAATTACTTTAGCATTAGGAAGTAATAAGAAAGCAAAAAATGAAATTGTAAAAGCCAAACAGAGGGTCTTTTTGTTTTTTTGGTACTTCTGTACAGTGGAGATATACCCTAAGCTGTCAGAACCATATTAAATGGAGCATAGTTAAATTGAGTGCCTCTGATAAGGGGCTCTGCCAGGCTATCAAAGTTTTAGATCAGTTGGATTGAATTTCCGGCATATTGCACATTTCCACACATTCATTCTCTCTCTTTCCTTTCAGTGACACTACAAGGGCAGCCTTAGATATGCTTAGAATTTGTGGTTTTATAATGCAGGGGACATCTACCTTTTCAAAGAAAGAATGATACCCTGGAAGCCAAGAGCAAAAGTGGGGGAAAATAAAAAACTTTTGCAAAGAACACAGTCTGCATATGATTGCAGAGAGTTTGAAAAAAAGGCCTTACAGTTCTTCAGAGTCAAGAGCTATTAAAATATAATGTTTTAAATGTGCATTTCTCTCAAATTAAAGTAGGTTTGTGCAACTTTAAGGAACCCTATACATCAATAAGTAATTAAACTAATAATTAATAACTAATATGACAGTCACGATTACTTCTAAAATCTTCTCTACTCTTGAACGACGACTCCAAAAAAAAAAGTATAATTACTTCATATTTCAGGTTTTCCCTAAGGAAATGGTAGCATGTACTATATTTTACAATCTCTTTTATTAGAGTACCAAAGAATATGGATACAGTAATTCTGTATAGAGAATATTTTTGGTTTAAGATTTTTAAAACTTACAGAAAGGAACACTGAACATCACCAAATCAATTATGCAATAACAGAAAGAATAAAGGAGAGTAAGTGCAATTTAAGGCAGTTTTAAAGCAAAAAATATTATTTGAAACTAGCATACCCTGGAGAAATATAAAAATGCCCTTTTATTAATTTTTTTAAAGCAAATTAGCCCTGAGTTCTGGACCCCATAATTAAAAGACTAAATGATAGGGAGTCAAATTCCAAAAAGGGTTTCTTAGTCTCAACACCTTCTGTCTAGGTAGGATGTCTAGGTAGGATGAATTGGTACATACAATTTTTTCTAAAAGTTTTTCTAAAAATGCTTAAATCAAATCATCAAAATAGCCAATATTCTCTTAAATTATTTAGCACTTTTATTTTATATAATCATTTTCATTACTTTTTGTATTGCTGGAAATCATGGAAATAATCATCAAAATGAATTCCCAGCACAAGGGTATAATTTGAAGATGACACCAGCAGCATCATTTGCCTGTGCCGTGATTACAGCATCATTCTGAAAAGAGAGCTAAAAAAGCAGCATTACTGGAGGGAGCTGTGCCCACTCGCAGTCTAGCTGCCATCTCTCTGCCACAGCTGTCACCAGGATGTCTCTCTTTTTTTCTCTTTAACTTTCTCTTTCCCCCCATAATCTCTTGCCCATATATTTTCATCAGCAAAGGGTAGAAAGGGCCCAACCAGCTTGTCACAGAATCCTAACACTTTATAACCAGGACAGTGGAGCACTTACCAGGGAGCCTTTTGGTATTTCCATATCAGCTTTGGTTTTGATGATTTTCTTGTGGCTTCCTTGAGTGCTGATAGAGCCGCTGGTGAGACAGGAGCCCTGGGAGCTGCCCTTTAACACACTCCTGCAGGAAACATTATTTGATCTACTTTCTGTCTGTTGAGCTGCTTTCTTATCAACTCTGCAGGTAGAAAGTGATTCCTCTGATAAATTACATTGCTGGGCTTCAATCATTCTACTTTTCCCAACCCTTTAATGTTTAAAGTAACCTCCATGTATTTCTTTGTCTTTAAACCTTTGAGCGATAAGTGTTTCTCACTAGCCTTGCCCAACGCTTCATCTGATATTCCAGTACTGTATCAATTTAGATTTGATAATAGAATAATTTATTTTTATTTTTACGACTGCTTGTGAGATTGGGGTGGGGGAGCAAAACAAAAACCACTGAAGAATGATTGCAAAACATATTTCTAGCTTAAGATCAGCAGGAAATGTAATTACCTCTGGAAAGTTTCTAAGTATACGTTTACTTGGTACAATCAATGAGATCGGCGTACTTTAAAATGTAAGTGTAATTTTCTTCCATTTCATGCCATGTGGGTACATTCATGATTCCTAGTCTAGGTTGAATTTCTATCAACCTTGATAATACTTACCATTCTTTAATTTCAAAGACCATTGGTTTGGTTAACAACGTAACATGGACTAAATTATCATTTTATTGCTAAATTTTATTTCATTGTTTAAATTCTGGCTAATGTATAAAAGACTGCTACTATGCATTTCTGCTTGTATGAAAAACATGGCTGACTGGCATTTAATGTGCAGGAAGCAAACAACTCTCTTTGCGGCGGGGGGGGGGGGACCCCTCAACATTGCCACCCTCCCTGCCAAGACATCACCTGTTCAAAAGTTCCGTCAGAAACGTATCTTTTGTTGAACACGTTACAGGGCTGGGTCTATTTCTCGGTTCAAACTTCATTTGGTCGTAAATGTCCTGTGGTGTTTTCAGATTATTTTTGCTTTGTAAACCAGTGTCTGGACCATCTGCCAACTCCGTGTCTCTGTTAAGCTCATTTTCTATCTCACATTGTGGTTCAGGCTTCTTTTTTTCTTTTTTTCTCTCTGATTTTAGCTGTTTGTTTCCAAACCCCAAAACTTTCGCATCTTTCTTCTCCACTTTGGTTTTGGAGACATCCATTTTCCTGCTACTGAGAGCTGGAAGTCTGCTCCTCCGAAAACCAAACCAGCTGGCAAAAGAAGGCCCGGGTTTCGGCTTCGCTTCCACAGAGGTCGACTTTGTGTGCACTTGGCCCCTTTCCACGTTTTCCTGAATGCACAACATGACCTTTTCTTCGATGGTGGGTGAGAGGGGGGCTTCTGGGCTCACAGCACCAGGCCTGGTTGTACAAGTGTCTGGATACCTTCCAGAAGTTTCTATCTTGGAGGTCCTGCTGGTTTCAAAATTGCTTGGATGCTGTGTCCTCCCTGGGCTCTGCAGGGCTTTTGGGCAGTCTGTGGGGGTGGACAGGCACCTGCAGTGGTCACTTCCTGGCTCCTCAGGTGCAGCCGCGCTAGGGTATCCTCCCTGGGCATAGGCCTGCTGGTCTTCCATTCCAGGTGGGGTGAGGAGCGCTTCAGATTTTGGAGGGACCCTCACAGGCAACTTGCCTGGGCTCCCGTGCTGGCTGCTAGAGCTGCCTGTGCTCCCCAAGGAGCCTTGCCTGGAGGAGGGCTGCCCCAAGGGCCTCCCTGCACTGGGGAGACTGTCAGACATGAGAGCGGACGGGGTCTTGTTGGGAGAGCCTTCTGTGGAGGAGCTCTGCCGGGTGAGGGAATTGCCTCTCTCAGCAGTGTTGGTAATAATCTGAGTTCGAACTTTGCCTGGCCCTTCCACGGACGGGCTGGAGGGCTTGTCTCCTGAGTGAGTGCTGAAACTCTGGCTGCGGGCTTTGGCTCCATTCATGCCCAGAGCTGGTTTTAGGTGTGGCTTGTTGGAGGAAAGGGATCTTTTCAAAGACCTGGTTTCCACTCCTTCTTTTCCATCGGCCCCAGGGATGCTATTTTCCAATGAATCTGGTGTTGCTGTTTCCAGGGGAAGCACTTCAGCCAAACTGTCTTGTGTCTGTAACCCTAGTGGACTCACATTTCTTTCACCTACTGTGGTCTCAAGGCTTGCTGGATTCCCGGAGTCCTCTGGCTTACACTTGCTTGCAGCCACAGAACTTTTAGAGGCTTCATTTAGACTGTCTTTTTCATGTTTCCCTGGCACTGTGGAACTTTTCCTGAGCAATTGGGGAGACTTCATGAGAACTTTGAGCCCAACTGGGAGGCGAGTTTTCAGTCCTTTCTCATGAGTGTTTTGACAACCATGTGGGGGGTTATGGCTTTTAGAGGATGGTGATGATGAGGGACTGTTAACCTGAGATGATGGTGATTCATTTACCCCTAAGAAGGAAGGCTTGGGTGATGTAGAGACACTGTCATTCACTTGTCCTTTTCTTCCTGGAGATACACTTTTGGAGGACGATATTTCCAGTGGCTCATGGGTTGAAGGACAGTTCTTGGGAGTTCGTAACCCTGTGTCTGTTTGTGTGGTCCCAAGTGTTTGGTGAGGTGGCGTTTTGGGGATAGTTCTCTTTGGAGAGACCTTAGGGGGCCCTGGGGCCATTATGGAAAATGAGCTAGAGGGGGTATGAGCAGAGCATCTGGTTTGAACCACTGTTTCTGTGGAGGGCAGAGGGTGAGTGAAGATGGGCTTTTTGAAGGCCACAGAAGGTTTCTTCCCCTGCACTTCTGTTATGGTCTGATTAGAAGAAATAACAGGAACAGAGGATCCTTTCAGAGGAGAAGATTTGAAGACCATCCTTGCTGGTTCATTGGGGACCCTTGTTTCGGCCTTGGCAGATGGAGGTGGTGTCACATAGTCATAACTGGGCCTGATGAGTAGGGAGACTGACCTGCCTGGAGGGGGTGGGGGGGAAGGTGATTTCATTCTTGCCTCTGGTCCAGGGTCACAGTGTTTATCCCTTGTTGGGGGTTCTCCATTACTAGGCTCAATGAGGGGCCTTGACAGCAACTGTGATGCTGGAATCTGACTCTTGGAGCACTGGACCCAATCCCTTCTGCCAGACATTTTGGAGCCGGGAGGAAGTTGGGCGGGGTGTTTTGGAATGTGTGAATCTGGCCGTAAATCAAAGAGAGGCACTGGGCCCTCAGTCTTCTTGAACCGTGAGAGTTTCCCAGGAGCTAAGGCTGGTAATTTTTCAAGAGTCACTGGGCCAGATGAGAGGACTCTTGTGGAGGCTTCAGGCTCTATTATTTTTGACTTCTGAGGTGAAGACTTGCCCCTGGCAGGTATTTTTGTCAGACTTTGCTTCTGATAGATACCCATGGACACTGAAGACCTAGAGTTACTCTGGCATGACATATTGTGTGTTGGTTTGGCCAGTCTTTGTCGCTGAGTATTTTGCGTTACTGTCCTGGGGCTCAAAGATTCAGTGGGTGCTGCGGCAACATTACCTACATCATCTTTTGGAATGTTTTTCTCAGTTTCCTCTTCAGGTCTCTTTAAGAAAGTGTAGTCTCTTACAGCAGCTCCTGGCTGCAGATGAGCAATTCCCTGAGGTAAAAGTTCAGTGTGTTCTGCCTTGGGTCCAGCAGGGGCTTGATTGATGGAGATTTCATTTCTGGTAACGGTGACAACGCCAGTCTGGTGAGAGCTGAATTCAATGGGCTCGCCATCTTCCGCATCAAATATTACAGTAATACATTCTTCTGAAGAAGTCCTTTTCACAACTCTTTGCTGCTTAATGAAACTAAACGTCTTTGGCCTACTCTCTAAGTGGACGGGCACTTGTTTTTCCTCCTCATTAGGAGACCCAAGTTGAGATTTTCCAAATCCCATGATGATGTCCAGGTTCTCCATGGACTTGTCTGTGTCGGCAGTCAATGACAAGTCTGAAGGGCCTGTCTCATCACTGCTTTCTATGTGCAGCTCATCGAGGGTTTCATTGTCGTCGGTGTCTGAGAGCTGGAGACTGAGAGCCATGGCGCCCTGACTGTGTGGATCCCTCTCTCTCTGTACCTGAGGCGCCTGCACACTTGGGCACAGCTTCCTCTCCAAGGGGCAGTTGCTGGCACAACTGGTCAACTTTTCAGGCCTTTCCCTGGGATAAACTGAGGACGTGCCTTCTGAAAAGTGTTTCCCATTTATCTGCCAGCCAAATAGACTGTCAGAAACACTGTGGGTTAATTTACAACCATGCAGCCTGTAGTCCTGGTTTGGAGCAGCTTGCAGCAATGCTAAAGAAGAGTCTTCATCGGCATCGTCGTGGGAATCTGTATCATAAACAAATGCCTTGTGGGGCTCCTTGCAGGGGCTCCCCATGTCAGTCGGTTTGCAGGGGGAATACTCCTTGAGGCTGCTACTCTTAATTCCTGGAGAATATATTCCTTCATTTGAGTTCATGCAATCTTTATAACCCCATTTGGTTATCACTGACGGGGGTTCAAGTAACGCTTTCCGCTTCTGCAGCTTTTTTAGTCCTTCCAAAATGTGGCTTTCCTTGATGCGAGTTGGAGGTGGTTCATCTGTAGGACTGGCAAAGCCACTTGGGAGCGAAGAGTCAATACTTAACCTTTTATCCCAGTTTCGTGATGATTGCTAGGAAAGAAAAGTAGATATCAGAAACGATTGAAGCATGTGGACCACAAATTTATAAAGCTTTTATAAACTTATCAAAATTATTTTAAAAAAGGATGGAAAAGTCCATCATTGAACTTAATTTGTTCTAGTGGTTGCTAAATATTCACATAAATGCATACATTAATTAATGTGCATTAATTTATTAACTATGCAGCAAATCTCTACATTCCCAGGTCTTGAGCTAAGTAGCATATGATACAAAGAAGCGGAAGATAAGGGCTCTGTCTTCAAGGAGCATGCGGCTCTGCAGGGGAGAGGACTTGGACACAAATAACCCTAAGTCAAGAGAGAGAATGAGAAATACAAATATAGTAGGTATTCCAGAAATGCAGGAGGGAGACTATATGTTGGTTTGGAAAAACTACAAAAGGCATATATGGAAAGATTTGTTTTTTAACTACTTAACCCTTGAAAGATGGATAGGTTTGCTTTAGTTTACAAATGGAGGAAATGGGGGGCTGGCCCTGTGGCCGAGTGGTTAGAGTTCTGTGTGCTCTGCTTCAGTGGCCTGGGTTTGCAGGTTTGGATCCTGGGCGCAGATGTACTCCAATCATTAGCCATGCTGTGGAGGCAACCGACATACAAAAAATAGAGGAAGATTGGCACAGATGTTAGCTCAGGGCTAATCTTCCTCAAGTGAAAAAAGGAGGAGGATTGGCAATGGATATTAGCTTAGGGTGAATCATCCTCACACACACACAAAAAATAAAATAAAATGAGCCACTTACATAGTGCTTTGATTTAATTTTCAGAACAACACAATGAGGGGGACATTATCCATCTTATTTTACTCGTGAGGAAATTGAGATTCAGCAAGGTCAGTCTGTTGGAAATCACACAGTTGAGAGCTGAGCAAGGGTTTGATCTCTGGTTTCCTGGGCTCTTTGTATGACTCAGTTTCAAAGAGGCCATGTGAGGATTTGAACCCAGGCAGTCTGGCTCTAGGCCTTGCATGCCCAATCGTGATGCTACACTACTGGAGTCAAGCTCAGCCTCTCTTCTCCTCTCTATATTAGTCGATGTCGTGATAGACATCATAGGTTATCCCCATACCCCCCACTTGACGGAAATTGCAGAATGTAATCACAAACTAGCACTCAGGGAAATTGGTGGAATTTGAACTCTGATCTCATGATTTTTTTCCTAAAAGGCTACATGACTAACGGTGAACAACTTTAATGAGTGAATCTGGTGGTTTCAGATGTGTGTTTTGTACCAGTCTTGGCCAAGAATTCAGCTCCTGTTGGCATCTCTGCACCAGCTCCCCCTGCCCCATAACTCTGAACACTAGCCATGTGCTCACATGCAGGGGTTGAAACAGTGTCAGAAACTCGCGTTGGAATCTAGACTTTTTAGTAAGCTGTGAACACTTCCTTACATCTAAGACATTTTCATAAAAATTACTCCTGCTATCAACAACATATTTGTTTTTTATTTGTTATATGTTTATTTGCTTTTAAGTCAAATTATATATTTTCTTTAGAAACTTCTCAGTGTCAGAAGTTGCTGTGGATAGGTGCTCTGTGGTGATGCTTCCCCCCCCCCCCCGCCCGTGTACCACTAAAAACTCCTTCGGAAATCAGAAGAAATCCCATTAATGAGTCTGGATACTATAGATTGACCAGTGAGTGGACTGCCATAGCTTAGATTTCTAAGAATTTCCATGATCCTGAGAGTTGCATTCACAATGAAGAGAAGCCTGGCAAAGGTACCACAAGAGCTTAAAACAGGCAGATTTGTTCAACCCATAGGAGATGTGCTCAGCCTCTGCCCACCCACTTCCTTTCTGCCTCGCCAGAGTCTGTCCACACTGCGGTTGATTCAGCCCAGGGCCAGCAGCTGCAAACCTTCCAGGACCCAGGCTCTCCGCCCTGTCAGATTAGCCAGATGCCTCAATCAGTTTTCCACAGGAGGTTATGGTATGTAATAACTTGAGAAAAGTTTGGAACAATCTTGAAACTTGAAAGAAAAAAAAAAACAGTGTGAATCCCCTGTAGGAGAGATGGTGGGGGAGGAGCTGGCATTTCCACAAGCAGCTTAATCTTTGCTGGGGAAAGGTGGAAGAGAGTTGCCCTGGGGAGCAGGGCAGTTGCCTGAAAGATGCTGCTGATAAGGTAGGGGCCAGGGTTGAATGTCCACAGCCTCTTTCTTAACTGGACAACAGTTTTACACATTTTTTTTTTAAAGGACATTCTTGGTCTTAATAGAAACAAAGCCATCCCAACAACTTGAACAAGCCTCTCAGTTTTAGCCTGATTCAACATGACCAGTGTAGCAAAATAGTTAAGAGTGAAGGTTCTGGAACTCTACTGCCCAGTTCTGCTACTTACTGGCTATGAAATCTTGGGCTAGCTACTTAATTTCTCAGTACCTCAGTTTTCTCTTGTGTATAATGGGGAGGAATAGGAGAACCTCCTTAAACAGGCTATTGTGAGCACAAAAGGAGCTAATATTTGTGAAGTGCTAACAAAGCTGTGTGGCATTTGTGGTAATTACTCATCTCTTAGAGCCAGATTCCTCCATGTAGCACAAGCTAATGCATTTCATGAAGGCTTCCTTTCTGCTTCTACACAAAACAATATTTAAAATAATCTGCTTTTGAACTACAAGAGAGCTATTGGCCGTATATTTATTATTATATAATTTATATTGTATTCATATTTTATGAGTTTACTGTGTAAGTTAATACTAAATGAGCACTTGGTACATGCTAAGAACTGCGGAAGTTCATCCAACAATATAAACGTAAAATGTCTTTATGGGACTGGGTCTAGTTTGCTGGCTCCCTGAGAATTAGGACTTTTCTTTGTGAGATGTGACAGGTGTGCTTCACGACCACTCTGAGACAGGACTCTATTAAATCTCCAGATGACGGCCACCTGAGTGGGTATGAAGCACTCAAAGATCTTATCTCCCCCCCTTCAGAAGAGAGGTTTCCCTAGAAAGTCAAGGATTGTTCTAATTGGAAAAATTTCATCCAAAAAGAAGAAGAAAAGGAAAAAGACTCTGAGAGGGAGAGAGAGGAGTTTTGAGAGTGAAAAGAGCAGAGCAAGGGGCTCTGGGAGGCAGTGATATTCCCTGACCATCTTCCCAGTCTGTTGAGAGCCAGGCTCCCAGCAGTCATTATTCCTAATTCCGAACATCTCCTCAGAAGGAACAATTTTGAGAATGCACCAGGCTCTGCACTTTGCATTATAATTTTGAGTCCGAGGGAATAAGCTCTAAATTCAAGCTTAAAATCTTTTTCTGAGTTCTTGTTCAGAGTGTAACAAAGATACTCCCTCACCAATATTTTCTGGCAGTTATGAAATTTTCCTGGTTTCTACACTTCTGAAACTTTTAACTAAATTTATACAAAGGGTAGAAACATGACCTCCAAATATTCTGATTTGGGGTTTCCATTCTCATGTACGCTTTGCTTTTCTTCAACATTAGGAAACTGCAAAAACAGATATTCCAAATACTTGGCCTACAGCAGTGTGCAAAGGTGTTTGTTCAGAGCATGAAGGAATCCTCAGTTGTGTGAGCCCATTTTGCAGACTGAGTCATTCCAGCAGTAGGAATTATTTAAAAACCTGGTAAAGAACTCCTTTCATCTAAGCAGGGACATGCCGACCTTCACTGAAGTTATGGTCCCTGTCATCTACCATGGTATTTTTCTTTCTCTACTTTGCTGCCCTCCACTTTATAGTCAATTAGTGTTTTATGAGGCTATGGCATGGAGCAGAGGAGGTCAATCTAATAAATGGTATTCGTGAGCAGTAAATTCCTACAAAGTGAATGATACTTCTGAAACTTTTCGCCACTTGTTCTGAGATAATGCACCAGCCTCCCTATTCTCTAGAAAGAAACATTCTGTTCAACTTCTTGTGGGATGCTCAGTCTGGAACGGATTGGCAAGTAGCCTTGCTCACTCTCATTTGCAGTGGACAGTAACAAGTCTCTCCGAGCATCACAGGAATAGAGAATGTCCATAAAACTAATTGGAAATGTCTGAGTTGGTCTGAAGCATGGTCAGTTCCATTAGGCCAGGGCTCCAGGCTCCAGCTTGGTATAAATCTGTGAATGAGCTGGGCTCCACCAAAGAACAGGAGGGAAATGTTTTCCTTTCTCAAACTCCCTCCCATGATGTCCTAGTCATTTGGGTCAAATCATCATTCTACTGCTCATCTGCTGTATGACTTCTGGTGAGTAACTTAACCTTTTTGAGCCAGTTTCCTCTTCCATATGGGGAGAATAGTATCTCCCTATGTAGTTTCATGAGGAGTAAATGAACAGGAACTGAGCAAGTGGTGGTTTCCTTCTCAGCCCTCCCTCCCACCTTCCGCCTTCCTACCGGAAGAGGATTCTTTTCCGGTTCACTCTGATGCTGACATGCCTTGAAAGGAGGCCTTACCCTTTTCCTGAGGTTCTTCCCATCATGCCACGTGTAGGAGGAGCCACTGGAGTACTCGCTGCAGGTGCTCGAAAGTGACAGTTCACTGCTGCTGCAGCTATTTCGAGGACAGAGATGACCAGGGATGACTACCCCCAAGCCAGGGCATTTCAGAGCAGGGGTTCCTGATTTTGCATTCAGCTGGCATTCCTAAAAAAGCAGGACAGCTCTGAGCTAGGGCTTTGCTTAGGGGAGAGTAAATACCAACTCAACATCATGGCGAGGCAGAAGGGAATATAGCAGAGTGGTTAGAAGCACAGACTTTGGCATCAGACAGACGACGGTTCACATCTTGGCTCTTACTAAGATGCTAGGGGAAATTATTGACTCTCTTAGAGCTACATTTTCCTTTTTCAAAGTGAATAATGTCAATACCTAACTTATAGGGTTACTGCAAGGACCAAATGAGGTTAGAGATGAGAAGTATCTCACCTAAGTAGGTGCTCAATTATTATGAGCTACCATCATAATTGGGAAGAAGTATCACAATGATAGTTTCCCATTTTATCCAGTCGTACTGGTAAAGAATCGGATCAATATTAAAACATGACTCTAATGCTACAAAAGGAAGAAGACAGCGCAGCATCTTGGCTTACAGGGTTCAAGACTGTGAGCATTAGACTGGGAGTCTAATGACCTGGATCTCAGGCTACACAATGCCACTAGATATGAGATACTGAGCAAAGAAAGCATTTAATTTCCATGGACCTTAATGTCTTCATTTGTAGGATGGGGCAGTTCTACCAGATCCCTCCTATGGTCCCCTGTGGCTCTTACAGCATCACTCTAAGTCAGGAATCAAGGGCTCAGGAAGCCGTGTACAGTGGAACACTAAACTCAAGAATCATGAGGTGCTGTTCTAAAGTTTATAGGACTTTTCATACCAGTTGGTTGTCCAAACGGTAAAGACTCTCACATCAAATAGAGCTGGGTCTCACATCAAATAGATTCAGGCAGTTAGAATTCTAGTGGGTCTGCAGAAGGCACAGGTGACAAAGTTGTACACATCCAAGCACATCTTGACAGCTACATTATAGGCCCCTAATGTAACAGATGAAGCTCCACGAACTGGACAGGCTAAATTAATTTAGCTTCCTGATCATGAGAATGGAATCTCTCCATTACACTCTCATTCCAGTCTCCTAGCTATATAAAGCTTTGTCTCAGAAACTCTTTGATGAGGAACAATCTGTCTTTGTGTCACTTGCAGAACAGCAAAGCCTCTTACTTATGCAATTTATTGACACTTTATGGGTGCCTTTAGTACCTGAGTACTTATCACTGTTCTCCAAATGCAATTCCAGCTGATGGTGACTAAACATCAGCTTGAGGAAGGAAGGTAATGCCGTTCTGGGAGTACTTGCGGTAAATATGAAACCCCGACCTAAGTACAGAGGGCATGTTTAATTTGCTCTCTAATCAATATCCATAATGCTTAGTAACGTTAGATTTTCAATATCAGACATCTACCTTGCTATCGATAGTTCATTTTTGCTGCTTAACAATCTCTTTAAGTGATCTAAAACTGCCAAGAAATTTTACTACTCTATTTCCCCCCTGAAATTTGGCTCGAAATATCATTGAAAGGAGAAACTCGTCTTAAAATGCAGCTTGCAGCAATATCTATTGATTTATGATCCAGTTTATTGCCATGTGTAACTTAGTTAAGGGGAGTTCATATTTGTTTCTCAACAAATGCCTATAACCAATGGTCCGATCGCACAGGAGCACCTGGTATTTTCTCTTCAGCCGCTGCACACATTTGGAACGTGCCTTGAACAAACTTTCAGAAATATCACAGTACACTCCACTTCTATTTGTGGGCTTTCTGTTTTCTCCATCCCATTCTCTCATATTTTGTTGTTTGAGTAAGCCGGGTGGTGGTTTTTATTTAGGACTACCTCTGCTCTGACGGATACATCTGCTATCTGGAGAGAGACTGTGTCTGCGTCCTGCGGGGCCGTCTAGATCTAAACCTCTCCAGTGGCCCTTTTCACGCCTTACATGGCTTTTACTTACAGTTTATGTCGGACCTTTTCTCAAGATACTGAAGCTTATATGTGATTTCCCTCTGTGTTTTCCACCTATACTTTCCCACTACACCTATTAAAATTATGTCTATTTTTACAACTCAACTCAATTCCCAGCCTATTGTAGCAAATAAGCATCTTTTCCCAGTTGTCTCCCAAGTTTGTAGCTCCTGTACAGATGTTGGATTGCATTGACAGGAAATTAGAACCTAGAAGATGAGCTAGAGAAAAAAGGAATTGTGGCTTCTGCTTTGACCTTGAACTTGAGATGCCCAGATGTGATGGAGGATAGTTCAGGGAGGTGAAGAAGACCTGTCAATGTCTTGTGGAGGAAGATGGAGGTGGGGTGGTTAAGCAGAGAAGCGTCCTCTAAGCCAGGTCCTTCACACTTTGATGTGCACATGAGTCATCTGAGAGCTTACTAAATGCAAATTCGGATGCAGTGTTTCTGAGGTGGAACCTGAAATGTAGTATTTTCAACAAGTTCCCAGGTGCTTTGATGCTGCTGATCCACAACCTGTGCTTTCAGTTGAAAGCCCTTAGGGGAAGCTATGAGAGAGGTCTACCTCTTATGTGGATTACTTGGTAGCACATTGTGTCATCTCACAGTCTGGCCTGGGCTAAGCAGAGAGGGATGAAGGGAATGGTCTGATCCTACCCATGGGCCAGCGCACTGAGGAGAGGTGTGTGTGTGTCTGTGTGTGTGTGTGTGTGTGTGTGTGTGTGTGTGTTGGGTGATTTCAAAGTAATTCCTTGCAAAGAAGAGGAAGGGGCCAGTCCTCCCTACTGAGAAATTCTCCCACCCTTCCCCTACCTTAGACGATCACTGTTTGAATTTAATAAGGGACTCAGAATCCCAAACATCATGGCTGCAAAGCGAGCTCCATTTTTCCTGCAGTTTCCTTCATCAGTACACGATTATCATGTAGGATTATTTACTCCAACGAATAACTGTTCTGTGGTTGAGTGCTTGATCTCCAAGGCCATTATTAGGCTTAAGTCCTGGCTCTTCCACTTGCTACCTCTTTGACCTTGGGAAAATTACTTGACCCCTCCGTACCTCAGTTTCTTTCTTTGGAAATGGATAGAATGAAAGCACCAACCACTTCAAATCATTGTGAAGAGTGAACAGCCCCTGGCATATCATAATACTTAGCAACTTTTAGGTATTGCTACTATTATTAAAAATTTTTTTATATACATGTGTCTTGGCTCTTAAACTAAATCATAAGTTTACAGTCTCCCTAAGGGACCTGTATTACACTTCTCAACATGCCACTGTTGTCTGAGGCCTTGCTCTCAGGAACTGGGTTAAGCAAGAGCCAAAGGTCGGTACATTTTGTTTCTGGGGATTATGGATGTGAGCTTCTGGAGAGAGATGCTAGTAAACACCTTTCCCAGTTATCATTCTCTACATTTGGCATGATTTCCTGTGGCTGTGGCACAATGCCACATATTTAAAAGAGCAGAAGAAGGCTAAAATAGCAGAAATCTTGCTATTGCCCCAATACTATTAGCAGGTGCTGTATTATGAACATTTCATGTATTATCTCATTTAACCCTCACTAAAATGCTCAGAAATAGGAAAAAAAAATCATTATGCTCATTTTTCAGGTGGAGAAACTGAGGCATGGAAGTGTTAGCACCTTGCCTAAGGCCACCCTGCTGATACAACCGTCAGGCCCAGGCCCTAGCTACTATGCTAGAGCACCAAGTAAGGCCCTTGACAACAAGCAGAACTCGTGGATATAAACAGACCACTGAGCATCCTACTCAGAAGAGTTGTAATTATAAACAGACCACTGAGCATCCTACTCAGAAGAGTTGTAATTAGTAGTAGATGATGATTATTATTAAAGCTCGTCTTTGCCAAAAAAATGTATATTGAGTTCGATTGTACCATTAATTATGTTGACTTAGTTGGCAAAATATGCCCTCTGCACTATTCAAAGTGTATTTTTCTCATTGTGTATTTTAGATTACCCCCTTGAATGACTCCTATGCTTTCTCTACTGTGAAAATGCAATATAAAATCTACAATTTTAGTTTAAAAAAAGGAGAAAGATATAGAGCAAGAATGAAGGCAAGAGTTTCTTGGATAAAAACTGTACACTTAAAAAAAATCCCTGACCTTAAGGCCATATCATAGATTGGATGCCATTAAGGTCTTCATGAATGTTTAAAGTGACAGCCTTCCACTGAAATTTCATTCCAATCTAGCTTGAGAATATTTGTCTTTGATATAGAATACCTGATTTACACTGATAAAATTATGCAGTAAAATAAAGAGCCAGTTATCCACAAATGTCCACCTGTCATTGTTCTAAGCCTAACATTTTTCATTATATATTCATTCGGCTCTTGTGTTTTTCAAGTTACTTTCTTTATGTCAATGAGAGTTAAAAGCATGCTGGTTAAAGTTTTGCTAAATAAGCACAAAACTAACCCTAGCTAAAGAAAAAAATGTACAGCCCATGAATTTTTAAAAGTTCATACATAATATATCATAAAGGTAGGATGAATAATATGGGACATGGACTTTAATAAAAAGCTCCTTGACCATTTCTCAGAGACTTTTGAGATGTAATCAATACCCAAAAAAGGTATGCTGGGGACAAAGCCAAGATTTATGATATTTTTGCCGGGAGTGACACTTTCTGCTTCCTCTATCAGCTGGGAGAGATGATATTGAATTTCAGAGAATACAAGAAAGGAAAGTCTTTTAATCTGCCTGACAATGCTTCAAGGATGTGCTTTATGGTTCACTTGTGACATCATATTTGATGGAGGGAAAATAACAATCTAAACAAGTGTTCTGAAGGCAACAGGAAAACTCACGTGCATCTCAACATCGGTTTGTGCCTGCGTCAGACTTCGGCGTCTTTCCACATCTGAAAGCAAATCTCCGGATGAAAGATCTAAGATGCGGGAGTGAAGTTTCTAGGTAAAAACAAGAAGACACATTGAATAGTGAGGATTTAATTGTTCGTTTCAAAATCCTGCCTTGGACAGCTAAATCTCAAAAGAGTTGACATTTCTAGATTAGATAATACATATCCTAACTCAGAAAAGTTTATTCTCGTTTATCAGTGCTCCACACAGATATGTGCAAATTACTGTTTATAGGTAATAATCACACTTTCACAATCTGTCAGTCTGTGTTGGAATCAGTAGTAGGAAAAAATAAGTAGTAGTTGGAAAATAAGTAGCAGGAAAAATGTGACTACCTCAATACACTTATTGGCTAGTATGGAAATTAACTTTTGATATTCACATTAAAAAATAATCAACATGTTAACCTTATTATGTCGAGCGGTGGTTAAAATCTGAGTAAATAATTATAAAAGTGACCTTATTTCTAAGCAGCATTAGTCTTACGAAATCTTCTCTTGGACACACTTTAACTCAAAGTCATTAATGTCATCTGTTAGGAACAATTAATGTGAATAGAAAATAATTGCATCAGGGACCTGGGGAGTTGGTGGATTTTGTGCATTAATATTCACATGCTATTTGATTATATACTCAATTCTTTATTTCAGCTTTGCTTGCGAGGCCTGCTAAACCAGGGACATTTCACTATATTAATCTTTATACTAATTACTAAGGCTTTTCTGTGGACATTAAATTTGATCTGTTTAATTGCAAATACAATAAAACTCATGATTGATAGCTAATGTTTCTGCTAGGCTGATGACATTTAAAAAATGGTACTTGTAGCCTGGTCTGTCTTAGTTACAACTTTTGTGACTTCAGACACTAAAAAATCGAATTGAGTAAGTAAATAATGTGCCTAAGCATGCCTCCCTCACCTCTGAAAAGTTTTTCTATTCCCTTTCCTCCCTGGAAAGGCCTTGCTGCATACTGATGCTGATCCGGGAAATGTCTCAGATTCTCTGCCACTAATTAATGTTAGGATCATCTCAGAGTGCAGCGGTTGTCCCACAGGTCACTTTGTCCCAGCAGATCTACCATGTTGTTGGCAGGGACTTCACTAAAATGAGCTACATTCACTCTGATCCCCATTTGACTCCTCTCAGGTTGAATTTGTGTGAGAGCCCAATGTACTAGTTCATTGGTCGCTTAGCAAACATTTATTCAGTGCCTACTGAAGGCTGAGCGCTGGGCCAGAACTGGGCTGCCACCTTCTGCAGGAGTGAAGGAATTTTTTTCCTCTGTGGATCAGTTCTCCTCCTTATCCATGGAGCTTTGAGTCACTCCTTGCTTCAGACCTATACTCTTGCATCTTCCAATCCATGTGTATGGAGTTACTTTCACCAAAAAGGGAATAAATCCTACACTGGTTGCCTGTCATTTTTGAAAATTCTAATTTCTCCAACAAAGCAAAGCAATCAATAGGTAACTAGAACCAGGATGCTGTTTCTGCACAATTTTTATAATCCTTACCTCAAGTTCCCTCTAGAACCTGAGTCTCCTGGGGGCAAATCCCCAGGAGCTGTCACAGTGTGTAATAAGTAAGTACCCAACTGGTGCTTGTTGTTGTCTATAAGGAAAGAGAGGTCTTTATGTTTTTCCCACTCACATATAGGTTTTAAAGATTGAAAGAGTGCCAAAGGAATTATAATGTTCTGAGACCTAAGAATACATTGATCAGTATGCAAACTGTCTAAGAAGTTATGGGAAATGACATTCAACAAAGAAATAATGATTTTGAGTGGTAGATCATGTGACTCGGGAGAAGAGTTCTTACAGATTAGATATCTGACTTTTTATTCGCTTCATGGTTACACTTTACCCCTTCTTATCAGATACATGATGTCATCCTTTGCTTTCTGCATGAATATGTGTATATATAAACTCATCCTTGTAAGTGATGTTATATTTCAGTGGTTTTTATCCAAACTGTTAGTTCCCTCCATTGAAATAGGTATGGCCATGTGGGAGAGGAAATAGGGAATGGGGCCAGGAGACCCGAGTTCCAGCATTTTCTATGGCACAGGTTTTGCTGGATCTCAGGAATGTAACTGAACGTCTCAGTCTCAGCTTCCTCACCTGTTACAGAGGGATGGAAGTGGCTACTTAACCTACCTCACAGGTAGGGAGAGGTATTGCCATGGTCAGAAAGAATAATAAATAAGGTAGTATGCTGAAATTCACACAGCTTTACACCAATTAATTGCCATAACTAAGAGTTGGTGGTAGATAATTTCTTACATGCTAAGGTATAAACAAATCATTTATTGTTATAGTTTCCATATACGTAAGGCAAATAAAAATTGACTTGGAAAATAAAATCTACTTCTGTGTGAAGGCTGTAGGCAAGAACATATAGGTAAATATCATCCTTTCACACGACTTCCCTTAAATAACTATGAAAGTTCACAAGCCCATAGATGTTACACTTCTTATAATAAGAATTTTCATGAAAGGCTTATATTTTCACGCCTATATATGTATGTATATTACAATAAATATATTCTCACAGACACAGAGAATGTATAAGAGTGTACAACAGAGCAAGCACGTCACTTTTCAAACCAGTATTGTGATGTTATCTGTGCTTAATTCAAGTCTCAGTGAAAAGCAGGTAGAATGTATACATGGGAAATTCAATTAAAGTTATTGTCAGAAAGAGTATAAGTGACAGGAGAATACTGTGACCTCTTAAAAGAAGTCCACCTGCTTGGTCTGAGGGCAAATTCTCTGTCAAGACCTGTCTATGGTTCGTGTTTACTGTTGGTGTCCATTTGGATAAAATATGTCACCTGAAATACTCCAAACTTGAAATCTTTAACCTGCAAAACCACATGCACTCTCAATTTAGACATATAGTTTTTTTTATGTTTTAGACATGAGAGGCAGCAAGATTATTCAGCATAGGTTTGAAATTGACCCCACATCACCTCTTACATTATCTCAGTAATGGAGATTCCACTTGGCCTTGGGCATAGAGACTCCTAGCCTCATACATTTCCAAACCAGAGGTCAGTAAGATCTTGTCGCTCAAATGCCTCCTTGGACAGTGACAGTCCACCCCTTCCTTCCTGCCAGACTGCTTTCACTCTCTCTGGTTTGGGCCCCTCACTTCAGAGCTCCCTCACACTCCCTCCTCCTGCCCACCTATCTAAACCCTGTCCCCTACTCAGGACTGCACCAAAACCCCACCCAGAAGGTTGTCAGTCATCTCTAGCCCAGTGGATCACCCACCCAGATGGATTGTATCACTCCCCTACTTTGGCCCTTTGCCTGAAGTGCAAAATTGCTGAGTTGCCCCTGTGTGTAAGGTCTATTTTCCTAATAGGGTGATCATCTCTATCACGATGCAGACCAAGCCCTATATTTCTGTTTTTTTCCCCTGCGGCAAGGGCTGGCTAGCCCTTGCTAGCCTTGAAACCTATTCCCTCTTCTTTCTGGGCACACAGCTAGACTGTGTTTCCCAGCCTCCTTTGCAGTTAGGTGTGGCCCTGTGACATGGTTTGTTCCAGCCAACAGAATGTGAGCAAAAGTGATGTCTGTCCTGGCCCAGGAATATCTCTGGCATGCATGCTCCATGCTCTTTCTCCTCCCACCAGCTTGATGCTGCCAACTCAGCATAGCAGTCTTGGAAGCCACATCTTAATGATGGAGCCACCAGGAGAAAGGAGTTTGGGTTCCTGAATCGCTGGAAGGGAACCACCCAGGGACCAGAGATACTTCTTTTGGATTTTCCATGAGGAAGAAACAGACTTACACTGGGTTTGAGCCATTATTCATTCGAAGGTTTGTTTGTTACCATGACAAATGTTAACCTGGCTGATATGACCCTCCTCTGAGATAAGCACTCTGCAGCATCAGGGTAGCCAATTGATCAATCAATACACACACATATTCACACACACACACATTATATATACATTCACACACACATATATAGTTTATGCCAGCAGACCAAGGTGACTTCTCACACACGACTTTCAGCTTCATGGGAAAGGGTCTCCTTTCTGTCACTATGCAGGGGCAGGGGTGGGGGGATCTGTATGACGAACTAAGGTGTATTGCAATCCATAGTCAGAACGCACACCTCATGCCAGTGTGAAATACCAAACTCAGCTTTGGAGACCTGGCAGTGCCAGGGCAGCCAGTGCCAGACCCACACACTGGGTCGGTAATATTTGGTGGATTACCCTGCTTTCGGTCAGCCAGCTCTATGTTCTCTGAACAGTTCTAAATGTGTAATTCAAGGCAGAGGAACGTCCCCTTAACAGACTGCGCCCAGGACTGCCTGTCCTTTATCTGGTGGGATGAAGGTGTAGTGGCCCCTTCAGAGTTGCGGAGGCTGATTCTGCTGCTCTGAAGTTAACGATGGCAGCGGAGACTGGAGACTAAGGTGCGCTCAGGCCTTTCGGTGCTGGGCTGGAGGGCCAGCTTTCCATTTTCTGTTTCTCTCCTCACTCACGGAGCTGCAGTTCTTCATATGCTCAGTGAAGCCCTGTTGCATTGAATAGAATTCCGCCTCTGGGTTTTGGCTCAGTACGGAGATGAGGTCTTCACTTTAAGGCACTGATTGCTGAGGCCAGGAAGACACTGAGTCCTTATTTAGGCACATGGTAAGGGTAAAAAGCAGACCTTTATCTTGAGAAATTTGGACATTGAGAAATTTGAAAACCAGGCTGGAAAAATCAAGTGAAACAGGGTGACCAGCAGCCTTTGTATGCACTGATGCAATTCCTAAAGTTTGAAAAGGAATGTGTGAATTTTTTCATGTCAGGATTTCAGGTGTTATTAACTCAGTTTAAGATGTAAAAAGGAAAGTACAAAAAGGATGATTTAACCATTGCTCTCTACTCTTCACTCAGATTTGGTGAAAGAATTAACCTAATGCCATAATCATGCATACAATTATTCTCCCCTCTATTACAAGCCGAACATCTGTATAAAATAGAAGTTATGAGAGTGAATATGGCATATATCTGATTAATGGACTCTACCAACACAAGTAA